TGTGTATGCGGATTATCAATCACATGTGATTGATATGATAACTGACATGTTTAACTTGTATCCCCCCTATAAAACATGTAAAAACATTTAAAAGGTTCATTCAAGGGTATGAACTCACCTGATGTAAGTGGATCCGACGAAGGTGCCGGTTGGGTGTTTGGTGCCAAGTAAAGACTTGGGCGCACTTATTGACCTATTAACATATGATAACATATTTTTACATATAATTAGTACATATAATACCAATTAAACAAGTATACCCATCCTAAAGTGCGAAAAACACGTTGATTAAGTGTTTGGGGTGTCCCGGGTAACATTTAAGGGCTTGAATGGCTTAGGAATAGAGTTTACTCTTCAAGAGTAAACTCTATATATATAGTTCACGGCCCTGGGACAACTCCCTATTAGTTTACGGGCGTAAACTCATGGTGAGGGTGTTCTAGGATGCTTAAAGGTCTCATATTAATGGTGGAATTTTGCTAGGCCCAAATATAAAGTGTATGGATGGATTTGAGGCACCTATATGGACCAAATAAGAGTTTATGGCCCTAACCAAGGGAGTTTACGGTTGTAAGCTCCCAAGGACATCTTTCTTGGGTGTTTTAAGGGCTTAAGTGATAGAGAATAAATCCTATGTATTTTTTTCCAAGTCAAATGGGGAGTTTAGGGCACCATTTGGGCACTTAATGGGAGTTTACGGCCCATGAACCACCTCTATGGGAGTTCACGGCCGTGAACTCCTATTCCTTTGGTTTTATTGTAGTTTAAGGCCTTTACAACAATAGTATTGCTTCAAGATATTTTTTCCAAGGCCATAGGGGGTGTTGAGGGCATTTCTAACACATGGAATTGAGTTTACTCCCCATGAAGGGGAGTTGACGGCCCAAGCAAGTTCTTGGGAATTAAACTCAAGTTTACTCTCCAAAAAATAGTTTCAAGGTGTTCTAAGTCCGAATCCATAAGCCTACAAGTCATATCTAAGCCTTAGGGACAATTTGGAGGGGTTTTGGGGCTTAAAAACCCCATTAAATGGTGTTCCTGGTCCAAGAGTGTTCTTGGGCCGTAAACACATCATTTTGTCCTTAATTTATGTTTTAAACACGAATTTGCATGCTAGATAGGCTATATAACAAGTTAGGATAGTTTACCTACTTGTTTGGGGCTCGAAACGGACGATTTTTGGCTCGGGAAAAAGTTGTAGAGAGAGAGAGTGGGGAGAGTGTAAAAAGTCTCTAGTGGACTCCACTCACCCTTATATAGGGGTTGGAGTTATGGCTCAGTGGAAATCTACCCGATACTACTGTTAAACGGGGCTTTTTGGTTGCACCCGATTAAACGGTCAAATTTTGACTTGGTTCAAAACTAAACATTTTTAAGGGCATCTAGTGGGTGATTCAAATTTGTTTCAACCCTTACCAAGTCATTATAATAGTCCAATATAATTAACCTCTTCCAAAAGGTTAACGGACAGTTAAATAAAACGAAGCTTTTTAACGGAAAAGGTTAAAACTTACGGATGAGATTTCGGGTTGTCACAAAGCTCTTGAATGGTAGGTGTAGGATTGTATTTTGGTGTGTTAAAGAATCCTACTTTAAATCATGTTTTGGTCATCTCTTTCATCTTTCCATTAAGCATGGTGCTCCTTAGTCTTATCATAAGTTCGTTTAAGATTTCTCGAAGATATCGGTACCTCTAACTTGTTTGACGAAGAAGACTATTGCTTTTCAGCAGGGGTTTGAATAACAGGAAACAATTATGACCTTGAGGTAGAAGTTATGTGAGGTATTACTATTGACCCTTCCTGAGGGTGTTGAGGATTTTGTAGTCTACTGTGATTCTTCGATCACTAAATTAGTAGTTATACTTATGCAATGGGGGTGACTTATTACGTATGCTTCGAGACAGTTGAAGCCTCACGAGGCTAGTTATTCGACTCATGATTTGAAGTTAGGGTAGTAGTATTTGTCCTCAATATTTAGCATCACTATTTGTATAGGGTTCAATGTAACATCTACACAGACCACAAGAGCTTGAGATACTCGATGGATTAGCCAAATCTAAATATGAGGCAACATAGGTGGATCGACATGGTGAAGGATTATGATTATGAGATTTTGTACCATCTCGGTAACGCCAACGTGGTGTTCGATGTCATGAGTCGTAGGGGGACTAGTTCTCCTATTAAGTAGTTGTGTTTAAGGGTGACCATTGTTACCTTGATGTTGGATATGATCAGAGGAGCATAGGTAAAGGTGATCAACGAAGAGAATCGGAAGAGTGAGAGGGTTGTTAGTCAAGTTTAACTTTTGATATCGATAGCCCTGACTTCATGAATATTCACAACAGGGTATGGTCCCTTATTTGGATGAGACTCAGTAGAAATTGATAGAGGAGGCTCATAAGTCCAAGTTCTCGATTTATCCATGGGCGACGAATATGTACATGGATTTGAGACATGATTATTGGTGGCCTTGCATGAAGCAGGACATAGCTTGGTATGTTGAGAGATGTTTGACCTGTAGGAAGTTCAATTATAAGAATCAGAAGCCTCAAGGCAAGTTGTAGCCTTTGGATATCTTATCGTGGAAGTGGCAGCAGATTACCATAAGTTTTATTATCAAGATACCTAAGACCGCCTGCGGTTTTGACACTATCCGGGTCATCGTTGATAGATGAACAAGAAAGCCCATTTTGTTGCCATTGAGGAGAGTTATTTAATAGAGATGTTGGTTGACATTTACGTCTGAGAGATCATTTCTCCTCATGGTGTACCAATTTCTATAGTTTCTAATAAAGACGTGAGGTTCACTCGGCTTCACTTCAGCATGAAATATCACCCTCAGACCAATGAGCGAAGTGAGAGGACCATCAGACACTCGATGATATGTTGAGGGATTGTATTATTGACTTTGGCAAGAGCTAGGATTTTTATTTTCCATCAGCATACATTTCTTACAACAACAACTAACATTCTAACATCAGTGTGCCTTCATTCTAGCTTCTTTATGGGAGGAATTTTCAAACCCGGATCTATAGGGGGAGGTTGGTCAGAGAGTCATGGAGAGCATGGGGTTGGTGCTAAAGACTATGGAGCTCATTTAGCAGGTTAGGTAGAGACTTTAGACAACACAAAGCTGAAAGATGTCGTTATAAGTTAGAGTTCCAGGTTGGAGACATGCTATTGTTAAGAGTGTCACCTTGGAAACGTGTTATTAATTTTCAAAGGAGGGGCAAGTTGGGCCCTTGGTTTGTTGGACCTTTCAATATCCTTTCTTGCGTGGGTAAGGTAACCTATCGTTTGGGTTTACCTGAAGAGCTCTACCAGATTCATATTACCTTTCACGTTTCTTAGCTAACGAAGTGTATAGTTGATGCTACTTCCACTATTCCATTGGATAATATTGAGACCGATGAGCATTTGGACTATGTGGAGAGACCGGTTGTTGTGTCAGAATGGAAGATAAAGACCTCGCGCAACAAGGTGACTGGGCTAGTGAATGTGTAGTGGCAACACCGTAAGTGTTCAGACTCGACATGGAATAGTAGACTGAGGTTTGACATTTGTTTGGTTTAGGTGGCGTGCGTAGCTGATTCTACATGATTGTGAGTATTGTCATTTTAGCTTTTGATTCATATGATTCTTCTCACCATAGTATAGGATACTAAGTGTCATGTTATGTTTTTTTTTTGTCTTTGTGACTTTTTCTTAAATGCTTATGTGCTTTTTGGCTGGGCCCGTTGGGGTAGACCCTATGGGCCTGCATGATTGAAACATAAATGTTGGGCTAGACCCGTTAGTTGTATATTATGTTGTATTTGGTGGAACTCGCTATGCTTTGTGTTTACGATTTTAAGTTTAAATGTTTCCGGTATTTCTGGTAGCAATAGGAAGGCAACAGCCTGATTGTATCGCGTCACCTGGAGATTTTCCACGCTGTTGACTTTTATGTTTTTTTACTCTAATATTTGATTTTGGAATTTAAAACTTATATTTTTGTTACCTTTATGGAATGATGATGAGTTGGTTTTATTATAATTAAAAATAAAAATTTTACTCTATATTTTGGGACGTTAAAAGTAAAAACGTTACAATTAAAAACGCTACAATTAATTCAATTGTAACAGCCTAATTTGTCAAATATATTGCCTTCTACATGCATTAAGATACATGATTTTTTTAATGAGTTTTGACCCTCTTTGTCTCTCTAAACGTTTATAATTTTCACTAACAATTTGGCTTTTGTTTTGGTGCCTAGATACGAATGTGTTTTTGTAGATTATCCTAGATTGAATCTTTCCTAATAAATGAAAATAATTTTCATATATATCACTTTCTCATTAACTTGGACACATGTTATTTTTTGGTATTTTTGATTAATTGTTTTTTTCCATTTGTCATTTTTTTTTCTTAATTGACACATCATATTTACACATCAATTAATAATTGTTTTAATTGAAAATAATCAATAAATTATAATATCAATATTTATATAGTATTTAATATGTTTTCTTTTAAATTCCAATTTTAAATTTTAGATTTCAAATCTAAAACTTCAAATTTAAATAAAATTTTATATAAATTTCCATATTTAAATTTTTTTTATCAAATTCATATAAAATAAGAGTCTAACGCCTAGTTTTATAATATACATACATTTACTCAAAGTATCAATTCAAAAAGTGATCTTACACAATTCAGAAGCAATCCAGATTTCCATACTACTATTACCATGTTTGTCTTTGCGTACAAGATCCAAAACAAACTAGTCTAAATCTGATTGTAGATATTTTCCGCACTGATCTATGTATAATTTTGCGTTATTTGAATTGTAAATTTTCTTAGTTGTTGATTTGCATAAAACTTATACAACTAAAATATCAATAACAATCACATAATTCTTGTACAACATATAGTTTTATTATGTGAACTGTGTAGTCCCGATCCAATTAAAACCACCATTGTAAAGAAAGGGTTTGGATAATCATCACGTTCTTACTTTTAAGATGGAGGTGGCGACAACAGCATATCTGGCGGCAGGTGGCCGTGGAATGCATTCACGGCATTAGCAACACCGTCTTCATTCTCTATTAGTTTCGCTAAATCCATTGCTCGAGCTTTCACCTATGAAAGTCACAATAAACCATTGAATTCTAAAAGATCAAACCATTTATCTATTTTCTATTGTATGTAGATCAAGTCATTATTATTTTTATAGTTAAAAAAAATTGCTGATGTTAATATTTAGACAAGCATGAAAAACACAATGTAATTAACAATTATATTGTTTTACTCTCGAAACTAATCAGTAGCCTCTAAACTATACATTAGTATAATAAGAACATAAAAAAGTTAAACAACATGACATAATCGATAGAAAATTAAAAATACGATGTACTTTTCTACTTATTAAAAAAAATCTTTTAAACTTGAAAAGAAACTGATTGTATTTGTATCAGAAGAATGGTTGTTTACTTGCCTCGGGTTGTAGCATGAAATTTATCGCATCTGAAAGTGCTTCAACTGTAAGTTGAGATATTGGAATTGGAGTGGGCCCCAGTCCTCTATTATATATTTTATCCCCCCAAAAATATTGATCTCCAAAGAAAGGAACGATGGTTGTAGGACACTGCATTGTTAGATTATGCAAATTTATATGTTCAGTATTTTATCGAGGAAAATTGCACCGATTATAACAAGTAATATACAAACATAACAGAATTGAGAAAAATTTCTGAAACCGGTTGTGATTTTACAAATTATCGATTTACCTAATTAATTATTTATTTATTTTTGATGACTCATAAAAAACCGATTTTTAGGTGGTCCTGTTTAAAAAAACCAAAGTACTTGAAACACAATTTAGGATTTAGCCACTTAGTTTTTTATAATGAATAATAAAAAAACCAAAGTAGTTGAAACATCATTTCCTTAGAAAAATGCATGGCATAACCAACATATGAGCTCCTGCTCCTCTGATCCTCGACCTTGATCGTTTCAACTACCGTGCATGGCGTGGGATTTTCGTTAGTAAAAGGTGAAATAACAGTTCACTTTATGTTCACTGCGTGGCTGCGTGTCGTGAGGTTTTCTACACTCACTGGATTGGGTATGGCATTATCGACCACTTGGAAGATCCCTCGAGAAAAGCTCATGCTATAATCAACATACAAGAATGGGTTTGTCTCAATTCCATTTTAAAATCATGGATTTTCGATACTATCTCCCAACTGCTGCTGCATATCATTCCGAAATAGAATGCCATTGCCTAAGCCTGGATCAATCTCGAGCAGTTTTTTCATGACAAGAAGAAGCAAACCAACTAACTTAATAATGAGTTTTTTGACCAATCTCTATCGGCAATTCTTCCATCATGGGGTATTGCATGTGAATTAAAAGCGTCATAGATATGCTTGACAACATTCATGGTACTGCACTTGAAAAGAATCCGAAAGTGTATACAATTATGGTCTTGGAAAAATAACTTATAAGTCCAACAAACTTTCGAAACCGTTCAGAAAACAACTATTATATTTTGTTTGTTCAAGAAAATTCAACGCACTTAACCTTTTGTCTACAAAAGTCCAACTTACACTTTTGTTCAATTCTCAATAGTATCAACCAACAAATGAAAGTCAACGAATGACATGGCTTATAACGTGGAAATAGATATCGGAAAAATGATTTTTAAGACTAATGAAATTTCGAAACCGTTCAAAAAACTTCAATCATGTTTTGGTTGTTAAAAAAACCCAACGAACTTATGTTTCCGTTCAATTCCTATTAGAGGCAACCAGATTCATTACGTATACAATTACTTGGCAAATGACATAGCATTATATTTACTGACATTGAATAAACATATTCGAACTGCCTTTTATATATCAATTGAGGACTTGGAGAAGAGAAAAACGAAGGATGTCTGTGTTCAATCTCTTGTAATGACTACTTCTTCTTCCTCTCAATCGTTGATGTCCAACTCAAGATCTACAAAAAAGATATACGGCGATGCAAACCCTTGTAGATGTGTACGCCCTACTCCGATTTGGATATCTTGAATGGAGGATCATCCAGAGAAAAAGTTCAGGGTTTGTTCAAATATATGGGCAAGTCTAATTGAAACACTTATCATGTCCATCTTCTATCTATTTGGTTGATTATCTTAATAAGTTCGTTTTTTGAAGGAACCAAACTGATAGATGTCCAAATCAAGAGATAGGTGTCCATATCCACACGGGTTAGCATCATCAAATATCTTCTTTGTATATCTTGAGTTGGACATCAACGATTGAAAGGAAGAAGAAGAAGTAGCCATTATAAGAGGTCGAACACAAACATTGTTCGTTTTTCTCTTCTCCAAGCCCTAAAACGATGTATAAAGCACAATTTTAATTTGTTTATTCAATGTCATTAAATATACTACAATGTCATTTATCAACTAATTGTATACCTAATAAATATGGTCGTCTCTAATGAGAATTGAAGAAAAGCGTAAGTTCGTCGACTTTTTTTAGACAAAATGTTAAGTTTGTTGGGTTTTTTGAACAAACAAAACATGATTGGGTTTTTTTTAACGGTTTCGAAACTTCGTTGCTCTTACAAGTCATTTTCCCTTGGGTTCTCTTTCCGAAATATGATCACATAGCTAGTCTCATTTGTTACCGGTCGCCAATTTCACTTTTTTGGTCACACGCTTAATGCTCTTGTTGAAAGAGAAAATAATGAATTAGGTCCGTCTTGCTCAATCGTTGGGCTCGGAACATACCTCGTCACCATAAATTCTACTACCCAAAAACATACACCAAAATTATAATCAAAACAGAGGCATCAAAAATAGTCGACTTGGAGACCACCACTACATTTGTGGCGGTCGCTACCCTTCCTCCCCTATTAATCGACAATGACATTTTTCCCACTTCTCATGGATGCCTAGTGCCCTAGTCCTTGCCAAACCAGCATTAACAACTGGTTGTAGCCCAACAAAACCTTCGGGAGATCAACTATCCTATCGACAGCCACATATGGCTAGCACCTCCGGCCCAAAGTAGCCGTGAGGTTGTTCGGACACAACGTTATCCAAGATAGAAGATCAGGAAACTACCTTCCCTTAGTTTTTTACTACAACGAATATCAACAATCTCATAAATTGTGGCTGGTTTATGGACTCGAGAGCTACCTCACACCTACAAGGCGATCTATGTATACTGAAATCAATTACTAGTCCATATAATTCGCTAACTTTATTGGTTGGTGATTTATCTTCCATAATTGTAACTAAGACCGGGCACACTTCAATTCGTAGCCTTAACCCACATTTCCCCTTTCATCTTCATAGTGTTCATATTACTCCTCAGTGTTCATATTACTCCACAGGTTATTTAGAATCTAATTTATGTCCATAAATTTTCTCATGATAATAAATGTGCCCTTGAATTTTGATGAATCCAATTTTTTCATGAAGGAATTTTAGACCTATCAAACAATACTTCGATGTGACAGCACAAGCAACCTTTATCCCATCACTAGCACGTCGTATCAAACTATTACCATCATTACTGCTTCCATATGTCAGCAACGTCTCGACTATCGTAGAAAATGTGCTTTTTAACATTTAGTTTCAATTCATCTTATTTTTTCAATAAAGTGTAGTCTTACATTCCTTGTTCGGCTTGTTATCAGGTAAACATGTGTATCTTCCATTTAGTCTTTCAAATAACGTTGCCCTTTTGATGTAATTTATTCAGATGCTTGGATATCTCTATTGCTTAGTCACAATGATTTGAAATATTATGTTATCTTTTATATGTTTTTTCACACTTTGTTTAGGTATATCCACTTCAACGCAAATAAGATGTTTTTCAAGCTTTTACATTTTCGTGCATATGTCAAAAATCACTTTGATTAGGACATAAAATCCTTCCAACACGATAATGATGGTGAATTCGATAATCCTAATTGGCACAACTTATGTAATTCCAATGGAATGTCCGTCTACTTTTCATGTCCACGTACATCTCAATAGTACGGAAAATCATAATGGATGTTATACACCATAAATGACACCATTCATTCACTACTTTTCATGCTAACCATCAACCCACATTTTAAGTGAAAGCCCCCGATATGGCTTGCCATTTTCACGAAATCACACCATCCACCACCATAAAAAATCATTCCCCTTACCAAAAGTTTTTTGGTAAAAAAATTGACTTATTCACATCCCTGTGTCTCTCGGGTGCTTGTGCTACTCATACATTGCCACAACTGTAAACTAGCTTTACATACTATACCTTAAATAGTTTTTGGGGGTAGCCATCTGGCCATCATGGCTTCTGATGTTATAGAATTTATCAAAGAGAAAAATATATATGGAGACATGTGTTTGACAAATCCATTTACCTATACACGTCCTCCACATCAAACTATTCACCACCTTAAGACTTCCTAGAAGACACCACTGAACCATTATCAATCTTCACCACCTTCTATACCTCATTCCCAATAGCTCCAACCACTACAATCCCTCCTCCTTGTCGGCTGCTTCAGCACCGAAAACCCACCCTAGTGTTAACACACCAACAACTATTCCCCTTACCACTACGAAAACCCCATCCACAACCCATTGATCACCATCGAATCCAGTCCATCTTCTATTACTCAACATACAATAACTACTCAATAAAAGCATGAGATTATAAAACATGTTATTTACCTTAATCACCTTACTTAAGTGACTCATCTCTATCTCGATCTTGCTTATATGCTTTAAAGGACCAAAATTGGTCCACCACTATACACAAAGAATACATTTTCTTAATCAGGAATGGCACTTAGGATTTTGTTTAGCAACTAACAAGGGTTAACATGGTCAAATCCATATGGTTATTTAAAAGGAAAAATACAAACAAAATTTTATCTTGCTACAAAGCAAGATTAGTGGAAAATGACAAAAGTTAGCGCTCGCATATAAACTATGATGAATAGTTCAGTCTGGTAGTCAAACCGACCACGATCCGTGTGGTACTTAGGTTAGCGGTCTCACATCATTGACTCGTTTATCAGCTTTATGTGAAGAACATATTCTATCACAATCACTTACAAGAAATCATGTACATGTTACAGCCCTAGGTTTTCATGATCAACGACATCTAGGTCATGTATGCCTACTTAAATGGTCTCTCTACCGGATAAGATAGGTTCCTCGTACTTGATCCATCGGTTCGCACAATTTTCCATTACTCTAAGTTTCACCAACAAAAGATGCAACTCATCTCTCTTTATTTTTCGATACATCAACACACGATATACCTTCTACATTATATAGATGACATCATGTTTACTGCCTCATCACACACATTATTTCAAAACATCAGATCCTCTTTCAACAAATTATTTAATTGGCATCTTAGTCACTCAATATCAATATGTCTGTTACTTATCCAAAATACATATGTTATTAAATTATTGACCATGGTAAGATGCAAAAACAACAAACCATGTAAGACCCTTGTTGATATGCAAGCAAACTATATACTTTCATTACACCCATAGCTAATAGCATACTTTTTATAGCCTAGATGAAGCTCTTTAATATATCACATTCATGATACTCGGCCTTGCCTATGTTGTCCAACAAGTGTGCCTTCCATGCATGATCCCTAGGAAACAAATTTCGGAGCTTTAAAGCGCATATTACTACATCTTCTAGACACCATTAATTATAACATTCAAATTTATGTGTCCCCCGCTTAGGGCCTCACTTCATTCTCAAATATAGTTTAGGGATGTCCCATTACATGACGATCTATATTTGGATACTATGTCTTTATGGTCCAAACACTAGAATATCATCACAAGATCATGTACAGAGGTCAAGTACCGTGGAATGAAAATTTTATCTCTAAAACATCTTGGTTGTGAACCTTCTATAATAGTTGTACTTTTCCATCATCAAAGGCATAATTTTTTACTATTACAATGTAAGTGCTATCTATCTCTCTACCAATCCAGTTCAACACTAATATACAAAACATATTAAGATTGATATTCATTTTGTGTAGAACAAAGTTGTTATAGGCTATCGTGCTTGTTCTACATGTTCCTCTACATATGAGTATGTAGATGTATTCACAAATGGACTATCATCCTCTTTTATTTAGAAATAATATCTAGTCACAATGTCCGACCAACTACCCACGTTTCATGTACGAGGTATGCTAACATATTCATATATGTATGTTTTATATACTAGCCAATTAGTCTCTAGTCTCAACACATGTGTATTATTGTATATCCAAATTATATATATATATATATATATATATATATATATATATATATATATATATATATATATATATATATATATATATATATATATATATATATATATATATATATGTATATATATATATATATATATGTATATATATATATATATATGTGTGTGTGTGTGTTTGTGAGATTAGTGAGAGATGCTTAATTTATGAGAAAATAATGTTTATTAGTATTTTTACCTAAAAAAGTATATAGAAATACAAGATGAAAACAATACCCCAGCTCTCAATCCTGTTGCGGTTGTCCCAGCGCCTCCATGATGAACCTAGAAAATCAATCGATTTTTTATTTAATATAAATGGAGTCGTAAATGCTAATTTTCCTTTGTTATAAGAGAACGAAGAATGAAACAAATTGTATTAACAACAATAGCAATAGTAAAAAAATTATCAGTAATAATAACATTATTGAAAGTTTCCTTAAAATATAACCCACCACAGCTGCACACTGAGGGAACAACCAATCATGCGGGTAATCCACTAAAAGAAAAATATCATCTGAAATTTTCGAAACTGCAATCCCATTTTTATCAAATGGTCAAGAAATTATAGGAAATAATTAGATTAGTGTATTTTGTCATCATATGTAAAAAGAAATGAATCAATTTGAGAAGAAGCTTACATGTCCCAAGATTTCCCCATCCTTGGTCAATTATTCCCCTTTGCCCCGTTTTTTTCAAAGCCTCCAAAATGATATTTGTAGTTCTTTTCGAATTCTCAATAGGCTAAAAAATAAACAAGTGATTTATTTTGTTATAATATAACAAACAATTGATTTAATAAACATTGATCCGATACCAAAGATTAATTAATGACAATTTTCGAGGTCACAATTACTTCAAAAGTTAAATTGTACTTATTTTTGTAATCCATTAGACCAAGATTCCCATAATAATATAACTTAAATTAGCAAGTATGAAACTAAGTTACATTTTAAATTTTATCCACTTACCATGCTTCCAAACCCAATATATATCGGACTTGTTCCTTTTCCAATCCATCGTGTGAATTCTATGGGTGGTTGATACTCGGAACCAATATTCAAGAAACAATAACCAACAACATCAACCAACGGACCCCAATCTGTATAAAACGGCGTATAAGTTTATGCAACCAACAATTACATCTTCATTTCATTTCATATTAAAAATATTATATAATGAATAAGTAAATGGCTAATACAATTGTGTATCAAGCACAAGATACACAAAGTACATCTATACAAAATATATTATACATCAAGATTCAACAAATACATATATACAAAATATATTATACATACAATATGTGTTAGACATATAGTGATTCACAATATATTTGATTCATAGAAAAGGTTGTAGTATAAATCATGAATAATATGCCTCATACATACTCTTAGAATACCAACACTATTTGAACCTACTGGTAACACATGTAGAAGAGATGAATCATTAAAGATAAATAAAAAAACCTATTTTAGAAATTAAGTATATGATTTTGATGCACCGATTTATATTTGGGGTTATTAGAACTGAATTCCAATGTTTAATAAATTTGTGTTACTTTTAATTTTTGAGGGAAAATTATTAGGGAGTAAATTTCAGTATGTGATAAAATTGCACTGCTACTTTGGAGTGAAACTTATTAGATATTTTACTTTAGTCATTTTTTATACATACATAATTTTATATATGTAGGGTTAATTATCATGAACTAAATTTTAGTATCCAAGGTTGATTAATTAGTCATAGCAAGATATAAGAGACCGGTGAATCGGTCACAAATACCATTTAAAGATAAAAATTTTGGGATTTGGAGTTATACTTTTTAGGGCTGAATTTTACTATAATAAACTAATTAATTAGTCATGAATAGTGCATATTAGAGACTAACGAATCATGTATACTATATTATATGGATGAAAACTAGTCAAGGAGATCATTTTAGTCACTAGTTGATATGTATCAAATTGTTTTAAACGACAAATAATTCAAATATCTAATCTACCTTAGATTGAACCCATGACCCTCTAGTTAGTTGTTAGATTACGAACCATCATGTTAACCAAGTGAGTTAACCCCAACTTGTTGTCATGTATCATTTTGACTAGGTTCATTATACCAAGATAAATAATTGTTGAACTACAACTTTTGTTACTAAACCGGTGAATGAAAGTGTTTTACTCATTTATAAAATCAACATCGATGATATTTAGTGTTTTTTAATGAATCGTAAAGTAAACCTGTCTTTGATTGAGATCCTAGTCTAATCCATAACCTTATACAACGATTTTAGCGATGTTGAGATTTTTCTTACTTCATTACTTGTAAATCATCGCCTATGAAACGCTTCCATGAATTTATTTGAAAAAATATTTTTTGCTACTTCTTTAATTATGTTGGTCTTTGCTACATACTCTAGGTATACTAAGTACCTTGTTCCCGAGTTCAACTTAATGAGGGAAAGGAAAATAAATGGATGAAATTTGGAAGAAAGTATAAAAAAATCAGTATTCTCCAGTTTCATTAAAGGAATGAAGTGGAAGGAATTAGAATGATATGAAATGATTATTTTCTCTCCTAACTTTCCTTCTGATTTAAAAGGATTTTTAAAGAAAGCGTAAAATAAGAGCACCTGGCTCTCCCATTCACAAGGACTCGATTCTATGTCCAAACATCACATGCCATCAGATGTGGTCACCATCATCTCACTCCCTTGCTTTCAGAGAACTCCCCCAGTTATAGATAGATAGTCAAAAGGGGCTTTCTTACTCACAGGATTTCAGGATACTCGTTAATGCCTCACTCCCTTCTTCTACTTCTGACATTCTACTTGAAAGTCTGATATCCGATAAACTAGGTTTAGCTTGAATGTCTTAGTTCACATACTCTACGGGATTTCTTCTTTACTAGAACTCTTTTCTCATGACGTGGTTGGGAACGTTGTGTCATCTGTTCGTTTCAATTCAAAAAGTTTAACTTCGAACTAACGAACAATTTTTTTTAAATTTTCCTCTCACAACTCTCTAATTTGGGAACGCAAAATACAAATTTCTTTTCTTTTCATTTCTCTTTTTTTCTCTCATTACTTTCTGTTTCTTTCCTTTATTTTCTTTGCTACAACTCACGAACTAGGCATTGGTGCGAATTTTTTTCTATATGGGTTATTTATGAAACCATGAAAATTTTGATTTTTCTTTATACTCAACCCCCGTCTCACATGTTGGCGTAGATAATAAAAATCTTTTTCTACTTTGCATATCCTCAATCTGTATTCCACTCAATAGTGAATCAACTTTCATTTTATTAAGGGGAAAGTTTATTCATTTAGTTCCAAGTTTGCGATCAATGTTTTTAATGAGTAATTTTCTCATTTGAAATTTTATAATTCCATCCATGTATTTACTGCTTCTTTTAGTTGCCCAATCAAATGGAGAATAACTAACCATTATGGAAATTTTACCCGTGAATCGGCCATCACCTTGTCGAATTTTGAACTTCTTAGCCACATGTGAAATAATTTAAATAAGATGAGACTGCAGTCTTGAGAATGATTTTTTAACATGAGGACAATGATGACAAAGAACATTATTTTTATCGGGCTAGAAGTATAACAAGGCATTTGAGACTAGATATATGTCCATTTTATAGTGTTTTGAAATGACACTTTTTATCCACATACGTTACTCTTGATATATATGAGTAGGTATTAGACATACTCATAGTGATTAGTGGTGGATCTATAATTTTTGTACTTCTATGTACTAGAATAGTATTTATTTTTATCAAATAATGAACGTTCATACCTAACAAACGATGCAAGTATTCTTGTGTTATGATTTGCACACATTAGATTTGAAAGTATAAGATACACTTGTCTTAGAATAAAATAGTGATTGAATGGTAGTTATTATGCTAATTATAAGTTAGTTACAAGGTACTTAATTTTGGTAGAAGTTGGTAACTATAGGGAAGTTATTAACGGCCAATGTGAAGGGTTGTAATAGTTAGATGAAGGGGTCTCTCTCTCTCTCTCCATGTGTGTGTGTGTCTATATATATATATATATATATATATATATATATATATATATAATATATATATATATATATAATATATATATATATATATATATATATCTTGTAAATCATGTAGAGTAAAATGAATTTTCATAATGGTAATGAAATCTTACTTCACATTACGGAGATGTTCTTGAAATTCTTATAACTTGAAATGTACTCAAATAAGTGTGATCAAAGCAATAGCTAATGGTTAAAAAGGGGCTATAACATGGTCCAATATTGTTTGATGGTTGTAACTATAGATGAAGTTTGGATTCATGACCGGGTTGAAAAAAATCTCGGTGAAATTAATTTTTTTTTTGTGATGTTTGTGTTTAAATAGTGAGTGATGCAGATGAAAAGATATTGGGAAACGAGGATGTTGATTTTAAGAGGTTTGTGAAGAAATCAAATGAAGATAGCGGTGTGTGTGGGTTCTATAATGACACTGAATTTGAAAAGTAATAATGAGGGGAATGGGAAACAAAAATCTAGTGTTCATGAGATGGTGATGATGATTGTTGTGTTCTAATTGTCTATAATAGATTGGTTGAAGAAAATAAAATGAAGAAAATCAAGGAGAAAGAGAAGGAATTCGATATCATATTGAAATCTTTAAAGAAGAATGAGAAAATCCAAAAATATAAGGAAGAACATGAAGTGTGAGCTAAAGTATTGTTAGAATCTTTTGATATAAATAAGAATCAATATGTGGAGAATACCATCAATGAAAAAATGAATGATGATCATGGAAAATCAACAACCGGACACATACATTGAAAGATTCTCACCGGCCTAATAAAAATGAAAGTCAGAGTAAACGAACCAGGACGGTTACTACTAAAATGTGTTCTAGAAAGGAAACTAGTGATAAAAAATAGAAGTGGGGCTATTGCAATGGTAGTGCACAACACTAGGATGTTGTAGGTGTACTTTAAGTTTAACTTTAAGGAGAATGTTGAAAGTATAATCAAGACTTATCTTAGAATACTATAGTTATTGAATGTGGTTATTGTGTATTTAAGTTTCTTTAGCACAAAAATAGTGGATTATTTAATTTCAAAGTCACATGTATCTATATAATGGTGAATAAATACATGTTGATTTGGTAATTGTGTTTGTAGTTTTGTTAATGTTTAAAGTGCAAGAAATAGAAATGTATTATGGTTTTTTGTCTCTAGTTTAAAAATCACAATGTACTTTGGCATCAATAAATGCATGTTGATTTGTTGTGTTTATAATTGTGATTATGTTTTAAGTACATGAAATAACAATTTACTTTGGTTTTTTGTCCCTAATTTAAAAATAGCAATGTACTTTGGCATCAATAAATGCATGTTCATTTGGTTTGATAATTTAACTTATAAGTTTAAATATCTCATTATTTATTATATAGTTGGAGAATCTTCGGGAAATGTTCAATGATCCGTTGTGTAGGGATGAGCTTTACGTGTTTTTTCAATCGGGGAAGGATCAAGGAGGAAACGATGGGAACGGAGGTGATGATTCATCAGATAATTAGTTTGTGATTTTTATGTTAGATTATTCGTGACATTTTGGTATTATCTTGTTGTAATTATAAAACTTTGGTTGTTTATTTTGGTATGAAATTAATTATATATAATGTTGTTACACTATTTGGTACCTAATATGATATTATGTAATTTTTTTCTGCATTTAATGTTGTTATGTATCAGATTTTTTGCACCAAAATCATTGATTAAAAAAAGTTTAAAAAATAAAAAATGTTGTTATCAGCGACAGGAGGAATTATCGATGACATTAATTATTACGGGCGACAACACATTTACCGGCAACAAGTATTATTACCATTGATTTTTTGATCAATAGCGAGGGGGCAGTAGCCACAACTTTTTATCGGCGACATGTCGCCGCTATTACCTTTATCAGTGACT